CGAATATCAACGACTCGGTAAAACTTACTGCTCATGGCATGCTATGACGTTGTTTTGCACTTCACTGTGCGCCTGTTGCGCCAACTACTTGTTGTACTGCCGTGGTTGAAATGACCTTTCTGTCAGATTGCTATATGCATGTACTACATCCATGGCGCGCCGCGCATGCTCATTTGTCATGTATGCGCACTGGTACAATGAGAAAATGAAGAAGAAGAAGAAGTAGTAAAAAGCATCTCGCAAAAAAATGGGAAACGCTACCATGTGCTTGTTCCTCTACTATACAGGCGACTCATCATCATCTTCTTGCCTCTGCTTCCCCCGCCCGCCGCTTCTCGCCTCACGGTCTCGCGGCGCAGGCGTCGGGCTCGCGGGCGGATCTGGGCTATCCCGATACGCCGGCCACGGAATGATGCTCCCTGTGCTCTCGCGTGCGCTCGCGTTGGCCCCGAGGCGCGGCGACTCGACAGCCACGACGGCGGCCTCGGGGTCCTCCGGCTCCTTGCCGTGTCTGGAACGCCACCACTTCATCTTCCAGAGCCCGCCCAGCGCATCCTGCAGCGAGGAGTTGCTCTTGGGACGGGCCTTGCGGGCGGTGAAGCCCGGGAAACCGGTCGACTTTCGCCTGCGGCGCGAGGGTCGGCGGGGCGCCGAGTCGGAGCCGGCCGAGGAGGGTCCGACGACGTCAAAGGAGACGGAGCTCACGCCGCTGACGTTGCGCTTGGCGGCGAGGAGGGAGCTGTGCTCGCCCGTCGGCATCGTTTTTGGACCTGTGGCGGCCCGCCGGCCGGCTCTCGTTCTCCTGGTCTTCCAGCTCATCCCAGATCTCGGCTCGTTCTTGCCAGCGGAAGGAGCCCGTATTTTTGCGAGACTGCAGCAGAAGGGGTCGAAGTCGCCGTTTTTGTGGCGTGTGGAATGTGGAGTACGAGGTAGGGAGTGTGTTGTCGGGCCTCGTCATGCGAGTCGGATCCGAGGAAGGGATTCTTCTTCGCCCTCGTATCCTCGACCAAAGCCAGACCGGGCCAGGACGACTGTAACGCCAGGCGTGTGCTGCTCGTCGCTCAGTCGCACGACAGCGCAGACGCCGACAGAGATGCCGTGCCGAGAGCAATGAGACAGGCGCGCAGAGGACCGAGCTGGTCGGTCTGCTTGAAGTAGATCAAGCCGTCCAGGATTGCAATAATGTTATAGATGCAGAACACCAACGGGTACAGCACGGACGTCGAGACAAGTTTTCAGCCCACGGTGAAGATAGTAAAGCTGGCTCAGGGCCAGCGTGATCAGAGCCAGCACGAGTGCCCACGCCTGCCAGTGGACAACTGATTGGTAGGGCCAGACAATGTCTTAATGATCAGCTCGACCGCAGACTTGGCGACCAGCAAAGAGTGCGCGGACAGAATGCCGCTGATGCAGCCGTATGCCAGACCTCGAAAGAAGCGGAACTTGGCGTTCTGTCCGAGGTTCGAAAAGTGGTTCAGACTGTCCGTGATGATGGCGATGGCGAGTACGAGCAGCGCCTGAAGAATCATCCACACCACGAACGTGCGACGCCCCAAGAGAGCCAGCAGTTCTTTGAGATCGTGCGCTGGCTCTGGGATCGCGCCGAAGATGGCAATCAGCACGGCACCGGTGCAGACTAGCAGGGTCCCCCATAGCGACCACCTTGTGAATGGCTCAGCCAGTATGAGAGTGGCGCATATAGAGTTGAAGACGAGCCCGGAGGCTTGCAAGGTCGAAAGGACAGGTAGCGGTAACGTCGAGATCTGTACCGTGCTGCCTAGGATGTTGGCGGCGATAAACATGCCCATGCCCAGCTGCCATCTTCCTCTCCTGTATGGCGGCCGTCGGACCTCGTGGGGGGCTTTCTCGTCTTCGAGAATGTGCGACTTGCGCTGCAGGGTCAGTCCCAAGCTCTGAACGCTTGTGGACATGAGGCCGACTAGGATGCCGATCTGTACATCGATTCGCTCGTTAGAGTTGTGCAGCAGAAAAAAAGCCCAGTCCTGTTGCGACGCACCGTGATCGTCCCCCCAGGGGAGATGCCGCCGAGTGCCCCCATTGCCAGTTGTTCGACTTGACTGGTGGTCAACTGGCAGTCGCCAGGGAGAATGTAGCAGTTGTGAGGCCCATATACGTGGGTGTTGTTACACGCGACTCGTCACTGTTCGTACAATAATGTGGCGGTTATTGCCTCTGTGCAGTGCAACGGCAGTATCGCGGAGGGAGTCTGATGGCGCGGTGACGCTACGAGACTTTGTTGATCAATGGGCGGTGATAGGCGGTCGCACCAGGGGTCAGTCGCGGAAGGGCGGTGTCGATGTCGGCGCGTCCGTGTCGAGGTGGGAGTACGGTAGCGTGAGGGAGGAGTCGTTCAGGCGTTAGGCGGCGCTGGGTTGGAAGAAAGCCAATGTGAGACTATTTGATATGCATGTAGGGACGGGATAGAAGAAACAATGCCGGTCCATTGCTGCATCGGCACCGAACTCGTTCCACATGGATGGTGTCACGGGTTGGCGATACGGGTACCTTAGCTCCATGTGTGGCGGTGCTCTGTCACCTGATACCGCCTTATCCCACCTTGACGCGCTCTACGCTAGTCCGTGATGTCACAGCGTTGTGGCTTGCGCAGAAAAGGCACGGCTGAGGTAAGGTGGAGGTACCTTTTGGTGGAGATTCGTGCTGGTGTGGGGTTCTGGCCTGTGGCTGCACGAGGCAGGCAAGCAAGCAGTGTGTGCCAAGCTGGCTGGCGAGTGGACGGCCTCCGTGATGCTCATCCTCGCAGTCGAGAGGGACGCAACAGCTCGGTTCAACAACGCAACACCCCCACCCCTACGACATTCCCATCTCCCCTCCCGACGACCTCTGTTCCCGGCGGTGCAGACCTTGCTCGCATTGTTCCTCTGCTCACGATAATACACCGACTCCTCAAAGTACCTCACAACAAACCGCCATCATGTCGAACCAACCGTTGACCGACGACCAAGTGAGCCAGCTCCCACACCAGCTTCACCTCTGAATGGGAAGCTATCATGGCCATCCTACAAAGAAGGCGTTTTCAGGCCAAGCATGACTGCTGACACTCTGACCCCTACTCTCGCAGGTCGGCAATGAGCTCCGCAAGATGACCGCGTTCATCAAGCAAGAAGCCATGGAGAAGGCCCGCGAAATCGAGATCAAGGCCAACGAGGAGTTCGCAATCGAAAAGTCCAAGCTCGTCCGCCAGGAGACAGATGCGATTGACACGGCCTACGAGAAGAAGTTCAAGCAGGCCACCATGTCGCAACAGATCACCGCTTCCACCGTCGCCAACAAGACCCGTCTCAAGGTCCTGGCCGCCCGCCAGGAGCTCCTCGACAGCATCTTCGAGGCCGCCGGAAAGAAGCTCGCCGACGGTGTCAAGGACAAGTCGAAGTACCAGGGCATTCTCAAGAACCTCATTCTCGAGGGCTTCTACGGCCTCAACGAGTCCGAGGTCCAGATCCGCGCGCGGAAAGCTGACAACGATGTTGTGAAGAAGGCCATTGACGAGGCGGCCAAGGAGTACAAGAAGAAGACGAGCAAGGACGTCACAGCGACCATCGACCAGCAGAACCCCCTGCCCGAGGGAAGGTAGGCTCCTCTTCTCCTTTCCCTTGAGCCCTTTCTTACAAATTCGTACGTGCATCGTGACGGCGGCTGACCCATTGTGCACCTATAGCAAGGGCGGCGTGTCCATTGTCGGAACCGGCGGCAAGATTGAGATTGACAACACTGTTGAGCAGCGGCTAAAGCTGCTGGAGGACACTGCCCTGCCGGCCGTGCGAGAGACGCTGTTCGGCAAGAACCCTAACCGCAAATTCTACGATTAAGCGTGGGCCACGCGCATCACGTCTCCTCTCCCAAGCCCTCCCGCTGCCCTGTTCTGCAGCACCAATTGTTCTCTCTATGTCGATGGACCGATGCCGCTGAACGGGTCGGATCGCCTGCTTTTGTACCTTAGATGCTGTATGATCATCCACCAGCACTCGTCCGTAGCCAGGGTCAGCAAGTCATCAAGTCATTATAACTACCACACTACCCTTGCGCCTATTATGAAAGTTCACCGACCGCCGTCATGAACGAGTCTTCTGCCTCCGAGGCATCGTCTGAGCCAGCCATGGATCCCCGACGTTCTTCGTCTCTAAGTATATCTAGTCTTGGCGGCTTCTTCAAAGCGCCAATAAACTTGCTCATGAATGCTTTCTGTGTCTCCGTCACCACCTCCTTGCGCTGCTCAGGCAGCTCAAAGATGTTTCGCTTGGGCGGAGGTTTCGATCGTACTGCGTATGTCAAGCGTTTCTGCGCACAATCGATCGAGCTCTTCGCCTCGGTTCGCGATAGGTAGGCAGCCCCGGAATCATTGATACTGCCCCATAGGGTTTTCAGCTGCTGAGCCAGGTGGTCGACTTCGGCGTCAAAGGCTACGGCGTCGTCATATGATGTACTGCCGGCGCAGAACGAGCCGTCGTCGAGTGCGATATCAAAAAGCTGGATTTGCGCCCTCAGCTCTACGTAGTCTGTCTTCCTCTTGATATGGAACTCGTCGCCCTTGAGGCGGTGCATAGCTTCTGGGATGAATCCCTGGTCATCTGGATGTTGCCTTGCGAGTGTTGCGTCTCCGAGGAAGAAGGCCAAAGCCAGCCGCCGCCGCAACTCTCGCGATTTGCGTGTTGTGGGGACGATCTGTTGAATCGACGCCAGGCGTAAGGAGCCGGTATCAAATGCAGTCCAAATCGAGGCACATGCGTGTTGACACTGATGTGGTGTTAGCTTGGCTGCAATCAAGACACTTGCGATGTAGAAGACCCACAAACTCATCCCAGTCACTTCCATCAACAGCCTCGACCAAGGAGGTCAAGGCTGTCTGATGAACTATTCGAGTCTCAAGGACACTCATGAGTGTCCTATCCGCCGCCATGCGCAGCAAGGTAAGTACAGCGTACTTGACGGACTCGGGCCTCAAATTGCCCGCCACTCGCTGCAGCCAGTTGAGGTATGTGCGCAGTCCCGACCAATCTCTACCAGCATACGCATTCTGGTCTTCCCGCACAAGCTGGACCTTCTCAACATCAATACCGTCTGCAGCATTCATGCAGCCAAACAGCTCACGTAGACGTCCGGGCGTGACAAGCTCCCGTATTTGACCTGCATTGGCACTGAGAAGATGGGAATAGGCCACTTGAAGGGGCCTCTTCTCCCCTTCGATAGCCATCAACATCCAGAAGAAGATCTCGTCAGGTAGCCTATGCCGGCTGGCGACGCATTGCAGCGTGTTGCTCTGCAAATGCTGCTTGCGGGTCCCCTCTTTGGCCAGCAGGGCCCACGGGCCCAGAGCGGCATGTTGTGGAAACGGCGGTGGCGGCACCAATGGCCGGGCTTCCGATGAAGATTTTCCCCTTTTGAAGAAATAACACCTGCTGTTGGTCGACGTGGTAGCTTCTGTTCGCTCCATGGCGCGCATAGCCTTGCCAGCCACCTCCTTGTCGTTGACGCCCGCAACACTGATAAATTTCCTGCGGGCGGTATTCGGACTGGGAGGGGGTGCGTAGTTGATGCCTGGCCACGCATTTCCCGCCTCGTATCTTAAGTCTGCGCTCTTCTCTTCACCGTTGCCGTCCAGTCTAGACGAGCTCGCGGCGATGGCATCATCTCGCCTTTGGTGTTCCATCAGTGTTTTCATGTCGAACATGGGTTTCGGAGGAGCTGGCGCAGGTGACTTTTCGCCAGGCCTTCGACGACGCAGTTTCGTCCTCGGAGAAACAGCCTTGCCTACAAGGCTCGGCAGCACGTCTGGCTTCGATTTACGTGACAAGAGCATCTCAAGGTCGGGCAAGGAGCAGTCGGACGAGTCGTCCTCCTCGTCATCGGACCCCTTGATTTCCAAGTCGCGGCTAAACGCTTCCCTCGTCATCGCTGTGGATGACGGCGGCGAAGACGGCGCTAGCAACGGCGACGACAGATGATCTGGCAGTGATAGAATGCTTTCCGACAACGTGGATGGCTCGTCCCGAGAGGGACTGGTCCTGGCGGACTTCAGGCGGTCCTTTTTGGGGGACAGGAGCGCATAGTCTGCTGTTCGTTTGCTGGTGGCAGAGTCACTGATCCTTGTGGCGAACAAGGTTCGCGTGGGGCTTGAAGGCGCGTACCCAAGGTCGAAGGATTGTTTAGGGTCTATCACGACCGGCGTGGACTGTCGTCTCACGAGCGGAGAGGAAAATATTGACGTCGAGTCGTGCGTCATTCTCTTGGGTGTCCTAGTCTGGCTCAGCCCTGCTTCTGAAGGAGCCTTGCATGTTGGAATGGACGAAGGTGGTACAGATGCAGGCGCGGCAGGTAAAGACAGTTCAGTAGCAGCAGCAGCGGCAGCGGCAGGAGTAGTGGAAGAAGACGAAGAAGTGGCAGTGGGTGGTGGTGATCGCGACCGTGACCGAGTCGGCAGTCGCTGTGCGTTGTCAGAGCGTGCTTGAAGATGTCGTGGGGGGTTTCGCGATGTTGGCTTGGCGAGAATCTTCCTCCCTTTGCGCTTTTCGTTTGCTGGGACGTCCTCCACAGAAGGCTCAAGGTTCTGACCAGAATGACTGGATTGCGAGCCGCCGCGATCCGTTCGACCACTGGCCAGCCGAGGCGTCGTCTTGAAGAAGCCCGAAATCTTGCTCTGCTTGTGAGACATGATGAGAGGTTATGTTGGGACGCCCGTCAGGCTGCAGCCCGATGGGCGAATCTAGCACTTAGTACTCGCTGGATGAGTCGAATACCGGGCGAAGAAATGCGTCTCGCTACATTCTGACGACTCGAGATTTGAGGCCGAGATGACTAGTTTATTGATGCCTTGATGATGCGAGGTCTTTGACTGCAGGTGCGGAGGCACACGCGCGGCGCATCGCGTCAGCCAGACCACTGTGACAACCACTTTAATTGTGGTCGTCTTGTCAGGGCGAACAGGCACGTCAGGTCGTTACTTGTGTCTAAGGCGGGGATAGGCTTAGCCCCAAGCAACGTCCATCTGGCTTAGGTAATTGGGCGGCCCCGCCATCTGGCGCCCCCCTGGAATCCATCTGTCCATAGGGACCTGAGCGCCGACATTGGGGGTGCCTCTCGACAACCGCGACGCACAGGACCACACGAGGGGCAACTTATTCCCGCTGGTGCCGTTCACGAGAATAAGATTTACAGTGGTGCTCATGTTGCACGGCTGCCTGTCAGGGGACCATCGTCGGCGTGGCGCAGCTGCGCCGGTGTGACGCCTAACCTTGCATCTCATCTCAGATTTGGCCAACTGCCTTTCTGGCGCACGCTACACCGCAAGCTGACAGGCAGGCTGTTTATTCTCTCTCGCTCGTCCAACCAGTCCGACTTTCGAGGTGCGTTGGCGCAGCTCTCATGTCGACCGAAATGCCAAGACGTCAGACAGCCACGGTGAGTGGTCGTACCGCCAGTCTCCGCCTCGCCTGGCGAAGGGGAGGGGGGGACAGACCAGGGAAGCGAGATCTACCATAGCATCTGGCCTTTCTAATTCAGGGGGTGCCCAGACCTGGGGGCGCCCAACGATCCCATCTCCTTCAAACGAGTGTGCATGATAAAGCTCATCACGCATGTGCGCAGTCATCGTTGCAGTTGGCACGAGATGGCGTTGGCAAGGTAGACCACGGACTACCTGGGGAAGCAAGAGTGCTCCCGGAGGATCTCGCCAAAACGAGAAATGAGGTTCGGTCGCAAAGGCGAACCAGTATCGCTTTCCGGCTGCTCCTTTCACGATCCGGGACCTTCGGTTCTCAAGGGCCCAAGTGCCAGATTTGGGGATCCGGTTTTAGGTGGACAGGCAATTATGCGAGTACTTAGCTGTAGGCCCCATCCCAGTACAATGTTCGACAGGGATACAAGGCGATGGGCGGGCGAGGTGAAGACACAGGGCAGGACCCGGGACCTAGGGCACTCGTGTTCCATCCCTTCTTCCATTCCCTTCCGTGCCGACTTAATGATCGGGAATGGACGACAAGATGGCCGCCACTGACCGGCACCTCATCCCTTTAGTGCCCAAATTTGGCCTCAGTACTTCGTATGATCGACATCCAAGTGGCAGAAAATACATATCGCCAATTGAAAAAAAAAAAAAGCTTAGCAAACTGTGCATCTAGATGCTTGTGCGTTACCTATGTTTCACAGACATACCCGCCCTCAATCTTGAAATGACCTAGTACCTGCTTACATGTGGATCAAGGCTCTTTAGGTAGGCGGTGGTCATGTTATGTACAGGTCGGAATAGCGCGACACCTCCGGCCCCCAGATGCAGCATGAGGAGGAGCACCGACTGACCGTAGGTCCGCAACACGCGACCTGATTACCAACTATCCGCATACTTCGGACTTCGCATGGCGGAGCCAATGAAAGAGGCAATGCAGCTTTGCTGTGAACCCGCGCGAACCGGCCTGTCCTGTGGCTGTTTTTTTGGTGGCACGTTGAGGAAACTAATAGGACCTGACGGATCGGATCGGCGCTGGAGCCCAGGCTACCCTGGGAAACCCCCTCCTCTCCCCAAAAGAGCAACGGTTGAGGCGGGACCGGCGGACTTCCATATCGGACTGACGTTACTGCTTCTGCTGCTCCAACGATTCGGCGCGAGCGACGTGGTGGGCGACATTACTTTCATCGCGGTAGTCCTGGGTGCCGTCATCAAGAACACCGTGGTCCAAATCGCTTGCACGGGCACCCGCATCAAGGGTACGTGGCTAATGCTTCGTTTCGCTTGTCATGCTGTAGGCAGAACGTGAGGCATGAAGGGAAGCCCCTGGCTGAGCACCAGCCCATCCACGCAGTCGAGCGAGTTCAACAAGCATGCCCAGCCCCTATTTCACAGCATGTCTTGACATTGCTCCATTCCAGCGCATGGTTGCTGGCCTTGAGGTGTCACATAGCGGGCGAATCACGACCCAAGCCTGTTTGAGGTTATAATATGCCCATGTTGCTTGTGGCGACGCAGGAATGCCAAAGACTCTGGGGGAGAAGGGTCTTTCTTCGCGGTTGCACTGTAGAGCCATGGCCATGGCGCCAGGGCTGTGAAAAAGCTTGGTGCCATGTCCTCTTTATGGCGATTGCTCTAGCCGGTTCTAGTCAAAGAGCACAACATTTCGACGAGGCAGACCGACAGTACCGCCAAGCATGTGGCCGCAGGTGGGTGACCAGTGAGTGTGCGGACTTTCGGCGTCGGGGATTTGGTGGGTTTTACTCGGGGCCGTTCTATTTCCCATGCCCACCAAGGCGCACATAAGGTGGAGGACTCGGGCTCCGTATACCGCCCGCCATTGCCTATGCTCGTTAAAGCAGGCCGACGCCATTTCGTGGGCCTGGACTACACCGGATTTTCGATATGCTTACCTGGAAAACCTGGAAGTGCCCGAAGAAAAATACAACGAAATTGCTCCCCCCGACTCGACGCGCGGGCGTGGCCTGTGCCTCTGCTGCCGTGGAGCCTGACGGGACCTATCTTGTCCTCGAATGGTACCCATCTTCGGTTCATACCGAATGTTCGTGCAAAGGGTTTCATATGGGCGGTGGAAGGAAGGTGGCTAAGGTTGGGACGGATGAGCTTATTCCAAGGCGATCTGAACATGGTGTCACCACCCCAAGTGCGAAACGTCCAATGAACTCTGATGACCACCCATCCAGACGCCGGTCACGGCTAAGATCAACAGGGCTGAGAAGGCGGAGAGGTGTCTACGTGGAAGCTGTGGAAGGGGCTAATTCTTCCTCATCGTGGGCATGTTTTTCCTTCGGACCCTGGTTGATTCTCGAGACAACACAATAAGAACTTCGACGGGGGGCGGAGTCTCGAGCAGCGATGAAGGCCGACAAAAAGACGACACTACTGAGATGCACGGGACAATACAAAGACCCATGGCTGCGGATTACCAATGACCGTGAAGGGGACAAAGATTTGATGCAGTCCGTGAGAAGTGGCTCTTTCGAAGTCTTCTTAGTCTCCGGGCCATCCGGTGCCCGCGAGCACCACGATTGATTTACACGGGGTCAGCTGCTGGGGGCTGTCTTAGTCCACTGAAAGTTCCCGTAACCCTCCCGAAGCCTCCGCTAGAGATAATATCCGCGGCCACTAAGCAATAATCCGCACCCGGCATGGGCTGTGAGGATTGCGCGCCTGCCAATTGACCACTGTGCCGCCCCTGGCACCTCCCCCCTTCTTCCCACCCTCGAACGCGGGACCCACCAACTGGCGGGCTGGGCAATCACGAAAGCGAGTGCCAGCCAGAGGTTGAGGTGGAGACACGACGGGTGACTGGAGCGAGGAAGGGGGGAAGGTCGCGCTTTCTCCACTCTGCGCGCGAGATACGTTGGCTGGCTGACTTTCCTCACCTGGCTTACCTGGCTTACCTAGGAAAAGGGAAGTCACTACCACTGTCATCAAACACCAATGCACCGCCGCCTGGCCCTCCCTGCTCCTGCTCCTGCTCCTGCTCCTCCTCCTCCTCCTGCACCTGCTCCGCGCTGCCCGTCAGTTCCGTCCATCCCATGCCCCTACCTTGCCAAAGTACACAGTGAGAGAGAAAGAGACCCATACCACCCATCACTCATCCCAATCCTAGCCCAGCCAGCCTACCTAGTCGGTCATCCACTTCGAGTTCCCGCGCCGCCCCTTCAGCCAAAATAGTTCCTTCCCTCCTTCACGTCTGTTCGCTGCCGTTACGCTCCCCCCTCCCTCCCCTCCTTCTACACATTTACCCTTGACGCCGGGCACTTCACTGAACGTCAACAGCCGCGACGAGACCAAGACAAACGAATTCGAGTCTCCCCTTCACGGTCGCTGGCTCGTCCTCCGTCATTCCTTTCGCCGCTGTGAACACTCCCCCCTGAGGCAGCAGGGAACAGAAGACAACAAACAGCTTCATTCTTTCTGAGGTCTCGACAAAAGACCTCCCTCTCACGCAGCCCCTATACAACAGTCGTACACACACCCGACCGATCCTCCGACACTACCCATCCTGGCATTCCGATAACGTTCATCTTTGTCTTTTCCCGCACGGGGACTGTTTGGCGACCACCGCAGGTCAGCCTGGTGGACAACTCCGGGTCTACCGGGCTTCTCGCCCGCACAACCACCGCACATCCATAATCATGTCTTCCGCGTCAACAAACCCGAACACCGGCTTTCTCGCACCTCCGCCTACAGAAGGGGCAGGTGCAGGTGCTGGACAAACGTCGAGCTTCCACGACGCCCCAGATTCGAGCGATCTGAACCAGCCGGGCCCGGCGGATGCGAAGACGCAGCGGTCACGATGGCCCACCCGCAAGATGACACTCAAGAGTAGCAGCAACAAGAGGTTGTCAATCCTCGGTCGCGCCAACAAGAAACACAATGGCAATGAGAAGAACCGCCTCTCCGGTGACCCCAACAACGTCAATGCCGAAAGCCAAGGGAGCGAGGTCGAAGAACACAGCGCAGGCAGGAAACTCTTCTTCAACCTCGACCTCCCTCGTGAAATGGTCGACGAGGACGGTGCTCCAATTCAGCAATACGCCAGGAATAAGATTAGGACCGCGAAGTACACGCCCATGTCATTCGTGCCGAAAAACTTGTGGTTTCAATTCCACAACATTGCTAACATTTTTTTCCTCTTCGTTGTCGTCCTTGTCGTAAGTTGCACCCATCCTCCTGTCACCTTCCCCACCCTCGTCGATCATAATCACCAACAGATTCGTGCGATCTAGTTTTTTCCCATCTTTGGCGGTTACAACCCTGGGCTCAATTCGGTTCCTCTCATCGCCATCATCGCCATTACTGCCATCAAGGACGCCATCGAAGACTACCGTCGCTCCAACCTCGACAATGAGCTCAACAATGCACCCGTTCACCGTCTGCGAGGCTTCAATAATATCAACGTGCAAGAGGACAACGTGTCCGCTTGGAGGAAGTTCAAGAAGGCCAACTCGGCATTTTTCGGCTCCTTGTGGCACGCGATGAAAGCGATATGGTCCAAGAAGGCCCGAGAAGACCGCGAGAAGCAGCGTCTTGCTCGCCAGGAGGCCGAGATGCCTCGCCGGTCGATCGAGACACAGCGCCAGTCGTTCATGTCGACGCGTGACGAAGACATTCAGATGACCCCTGTGCCTTCTCCGATGCCCCGCCAGAACCTCGAACTACCCAGCGAGCACGACGAGAGGCGCGCGCACCAACAGAAACAGCTGAAAGGCGACGTCATTAACCGAGAGCTGCCAGTCAAAGGCAGTGCTCGTTTCCACCGGGATGCCTGGAAAGATCTCAGGGTCGGCGATTACGTGCGAATCTACAACGACGACGAAATTCCTGCCGACATTGTCATCCTGGCGACCTCCGACCCGGAGGGTGCGTGCTACGTCGAGACGAAGAACTTGGATGGTGAGACGAACCTCAAGTTCCGTTCGGCTCTGCGATGCACTCGCTCTATGAAGCACGCCAGGGATGCCGAGCGAGCGCAGTTCTGGATGGACAGTGAGGCGCCTCAGGCCAACTTGTACAAGTACAACGGCGCCATCAACTGGCAACAGAAGTTTGACGGTCTCGACTCGGAACCCCACAACATGGTTGAACCCATCACCATCGACAACATGCTCCTTCGTGGCTGCAACTTGAGAAACACCGATTGGGCTTTAGGTATTGTCATGTTTACCGGGCACGACACCAAGATCATGATCAACTCAGGTATCACGCCTAGCAAGCGAGCTCGCATAGCACGCGAGCTCAACTACAATGTTATTTGGAACTTTGGCATCCTGGTAGTCATGTGTCTTACGGCCGCCATAGTCAACGGCACATCGTGGGCTAGGACCGATCGGTCACTGTCATTCTTCAACTATGGATCCATAGGAGGTTCCGCTCCAATGACCGGATTCATCACTTTCTGGGCCGCCATGATTTTCTTCCAGAACTTGGTCCCCATCTCTCTCTACATCACGCTGGAAATTGTGCGTCTGCTGCAGGCCATCTTCATCTACAGCGACGTTGAGATGTACTACGCCCCAATCGACCAGCCGTGTATCCCCAAGTCCTGGAACATCTCGGACGACCTGGGTCAAATTGAGTACATTTTCTCCGACAAGACCGGTACCCTGACGCAGAACGTCATGGAATTCAAGAAGGCCACAATCAACGGGCAGCCGTACGGTGAGGCGTACACCGAAGCGCAAGCCGGCATGCAGAAGAGGATGGGCATCGATGTTGAGAAGGAGGGCGAGAGAGCAAGAGCCGAAATTGCAGAGGGCAAAGTACGGTCCCTTGAGGGTCTCCGCAGGATCCACGATAACCCGTACCTGCACGACGAGGATCTGACCTTTATCGCGCCTGACTTTGTAGCCGACTTGGCTGGCGAGTCCGGACCCGAGCAGCAGGCCGCCAACGAACACTTCATGCTTTGTTTGGCTCTTTGCCACACTGTCATTGCAGAGCGACCACCCAGCGACCCTCCCAAGATTGTTTTCAAGGCGCAGTCCCCCGATGAAGCTGCGTTGGTCGCCACGGCGAGAGATATGGGGTTTACGGTGCTCGGCACCTCAGCCGAGGGTGTCAACCTCAATGTTATGGGCGAGGAGCGCCACTACCCGATCATGAACACGATCGAGTTCAACTCGAGCCGCAAGAGGATGAGCATCATCCTTCGCATGCCTGACGGCCGCATTCTCCTAATTTGCAAGGGTGCCGATAGCGTGATTTACTCCCGCCTCAGGCGCGGAGAGCAGGCCGAACTCAGGAGATCCACAGGCGAGCATCTCGAGATGTTTGCTCGGGAGGGACTGCGGACCTTGTGCATTGCGCAAAGAGAGCTCAGCGAGGGCCAGTACAGTGCCTGGCTTGAGGAACACAACGCCGCAGCTGCTGCGCTTGACGACCGAGAAGAGAAGTTGGAGGCGGTCGCGGACCGTCTCGAGCAGGACCTCACCCTCCTCGGTGGCACCGCTATCGAGGACCGACTCCAAGACGGCGTCCCTGACACCATCGCCCTGCTCGGCCAGGCAGGCATCAAGCTCTGGGTTCTTACTGGTGACAAGGTCGAGACGGCCATCAACATTGGTTTCTCGTGCAACCTGCTGAACAACGACATGGAGTTGATCCACCTGAAGATTGAGGAGGACGAAACAGGGGATACTCCTGATGACGTGTTCCTCACTCAAGTCGATGAATTGTTGGACACACATCTGCAGACCTTCGGCATGACCGGCAGCGACGAGGAACTGGTCAAGGCCAGGGACAACCATGAACCTCCCGACGCTACTCACGGTCTCGTCATCGACGGCTTCACGCTCAAATGGGTACTGCACGAGTCACTGAAGCAGAAGTTCCTCCTCCTGTGCAAGCAGTGCAAGTCGGTCTTGTGCTGCCGTGTCAGCCCCGCCCAGAAAGCCGCTGTCGTGTCGCTTGTCAAGAATGGTTTCGATGTCATGACCCTGTCTATCGGTGACGGCGCGAACGATGTAGCCATGATCCAGGAGGCAGACGTCGGTGTTGGAATTGCTGGCGTGGAGGGTCGGCAGGCCGTCATGTCTTCCGACTATGCCATTGCACAGTTCCGTTTCCTCCAGAGACTGGTCTTGGTACACGGCAGATGGTCCTACCGTCGACTGGCCGAGTCGATTTCCAACTTCTTCTACAAGAACGTCATCTGGACATTTGCTCTGTTCTGGTATCAGATCTACTGTGACTTTGATATCACATACATCTTCGACTACACCTACATCCTCTTCTTCAACCTGTTTTACACCTCGGTCCCTGTCGCCATAATGGGCGTCCTCGATCAAGATGTCTCTGACAAGGTCTCCTTGGCAGTGCCTGAGCTATACCGTCGTGGCATCGAGCGACGGGAGTGGACTCAGACCAAGTTTTGGTATGTGCTATAGGTATTTATGACCCTTGGGCTATGCAAGACTAACAGCGACGCAGGCTCTACATGGTGGACGGTATCTACCAATCTGTCATGGCTTTCTGGATTCCTTACCTGACTGTGGTATCAACAAGCTTCGTCACCTTTAACGGTCAGAATATCGAAGACCGCACGAGACTGGGCGCCTACATCGCTCACCCCATTGTCCTCACAATCAACATGTACATTCTGATCAACACGTACCGGTGGGATTGGTTCATCGTGCTGTGCGTCGTCATCAGCGACGCCATGATCTTCCTGACGACTGGCATCTTCACGGCGCAGACCTCTTCAGGTGCCTTCTACGGCGCCGGCGCGCAGATCTACAGCCAGGCCTCGTTCTGGGCCGTCTTGTTCATCGTGCCCGTCGTCTGCCTCTTCCCCCGATTCGCGATCAAGGCACTGCAGAAGGTGTACTTCCCCTACGACGTCGACATTATCCGCGAGCAAGAACGACAGGGCAAGTTCGCGCACCTCAACCAGGCACCGCTGGATAAGGAAGTCGATGCCACAACGGCCGGACGATCGAGCGCCCGAGCGTCGACGTCGTCTGACAGCGAGCCAAAGGGTAAGCACATGCACTATGCCAGCGTCGACGAAGACAGAAGACCAATCTATCCCCCCTCAGTTGCGACGCGTACGACGCACAACCCACGAAGCCAGAACGGTAGCGATGGCACGAACTACACGGGGCACCGCATGTCGTTGGACTTGGCGCCTCCTATTCGGCCTTCTTTCGACCGAGCTCGCCCATCCTACGACCGAATCCGGGCATCGATGGACCGCGTCCGGCCCAGCTTCGAGGCAAGCAGCGATTTCACATCGGCTGCACGGCTGTCACGAATCGAGTCGAGCCAGTCTGCCGGTCACCTCTTCCACCGACGCTTCCGCGGGCTGTCCACGTCCAAGAGCGCCAATCAATAAGTCGACCAGACTGCTCGCCTGGTGAGGATCGCGACTTTTTTATCTGTTCGCTATTCTCTCCCCTTTTTGTACCATACTCCTGCGTACACACGACGCCCTGTCTTTCTCCTTGTTCCATCGATCCACAACAACACCGACACAACACACCCGCATCACCACCATGACAACATTCGGCGCGCCGACCTCTCTTTAGCCTCTGCTTTTGGTTGATACCTCCCAATGCATGACGATTTGCATGAGCGACCGACGACATCACCGCGCTCGCAGCACAGCGACACTGCTCTTTCTGCCTCGACTCACTTGACTCGATTTTCTTCTTTTGCGCACTTTGCCTCGTACGTTCTTGTCCTTGTTCTTCTGCTTCTCTCGTAAAGGGCGTTCCGGATTCGGCGTTTCCACGGCCAGGAGGGCAGGAGGAAAGCCTGTGAGGGGGGCTGCATTTTTGTACGAGTTTTCCTTGGGGATCTTAGATACCTCCGACAGGTGGATGCGTGGAAGGAAAAGACGACGTGCTGAATAGAAGCTTCTCCTAATCACCAAGACTTTCTCATCTGCGGGCATCAGCCGGCAACCTTTGCACGAGCAAGGTCAACAGAGAAAGCGCGGTTGTTTATTGTTGGCAGGTTTTTTTCCTCCTCCGAGGAGGCCTGCCTTGTATATACCAAAGGAGAAGCAGAGTGAAGTCTACAATTTCCGCGAGATGTCAACATGTGAACATGTGCAGTGAAGTGACAAAGTCGCGTGAGCGCGAGGTACCTACCTACCTAGGTATCTACCTATGGTGAGTGGGTACGGGCACTGACTTATGTAACCTAGCAAGGCCCAGGTCTGCTCTCGGCAGGCACGCTCACTCGCTGGTGCCCTCCCGACTTCCACCTCGGAACATGCCACCACCAGACGGCACTTACGGCCTTTTCGCAATGCACATGGGCCGTTGTGACTTCTGCCTCCGCTTCTGCAGTTGCATTTCCCACCCGGCAGCTTAACGAAATTTGGCTCGATCAATTGGCCTGCTGGATGACATGGAAACCGCCTTGAGGTTGGAGGCCGCAGAGCTATGGTGGGAGCAAGCCAAGTCCCGGCTGGCTTCATGGCTCCAAGCGATACCGTGAGTAGTATGCCCCTTTTCGCCCTTTTGCATCGGGATTGGCACTGACGGATCCCGAACTTCACAGCTGTCAAGGTTGTAGTAGCCCGCCCATGGCCCATCATGTTTCAGTCCTCTGGGCCCGTCCGCGAAGCTAGGATCCAGCGAGGAGGAGAGGACCCAAAGAAAGTTCCACTGTCCCCTCCCACCCAAAAGACGCCCTGCCCGACTACTCCCACGGTCGAAGAAGACAAAACATCAAGGTGCGCGTGCTCTCCCAACTCCCTGAATAACCAGCGGGCGGGCCGGTCATCCTGTTGAGCGAACACTTGGGCTGATACTTCGTGTGCCCAGCTGCCCGGCTCCTCCGCGATTCACTGCTACGCCCCCGCGACGGGTCAGTTCCTCGGCCTCATCAACCCCTCGACACCCGACTCGATCGACCGCGCACTCGATGCCGCCCACACTGCTCAGGCAAAAGTGGCGCGCCACCTCGTTCCACACACGGCGCAACGTCCTGCGAACCATGCTGCAGCACGTCCTCGACAATCAGGAGGCTATCTGCCGCGCCGCGTGCCTCGATTCGGGCAAGACCATGGTCGACGCCCAGATGGGAGAGATCCTCGTCACGGTCGAAAAGCTCATGTGGACCCTGAAACACGGCGAAAAAGCATTGCAGCCCAGCCGCCGGCCAACCAACTTCCTCATGGCGTACAAGAAGAACGAAGTGCGATATGAGCCGCTCGGTGTCGTCGCTGCCCTTGTCAGCTGGAACTACCCCTTCCACAACCTGATGGGTCCCATCATTTCGTCCATCTTTGCCGGCAACGGCGTACTCATTAAGGTTTCGGAGCATACAGCCTGGAGCTCGCAGTACTTCACATCCATCGCGCGAGGTGCCCTCGTCGTCCACGGCCACGACCCCGGCCTGGTCCAGACCGTAGCGTGCTGGCCGG